CCTCCCATAACAAGCCTCAAACCGTGGAGTTGGTTAAACCCGGTTGACTCAAACAAGACCAAGGAACGGGTGCTCGGGGTCAAGTGGCCGTAGGGAGCATTGGCCACCCGGCTCCCGCTGGAGCACGGCGCGCAGAGCGGCAGGGCAGGAGGCCCTGCCAGGACCCGCGGGACCCCGGAGGGGCTGGGGCCCAGGAGGCAGCTCTACCCGCGCGCCCCGCAGACCCCTGCCCGCTGCTCCCCGGCACCTCTGGCTTCTCCGAGGGCAGCGTCCCATCCGCGCCACGGTCAGCATCTCCCTCGGCTCCCAAGGGAAGCACGGCACGTTGTTCCTCCTCCTTCCCAGATTGTTCTCCAAGGCTGTCCGAGGCCTGGGGAAGGACAGAGTCTCTGCGTTCCTGGTGACCCACAGCCTGGCCAGGAGCTTCTTTGGCTGGCACAGGGAGCACGGAAGGTGTGTTGGGAAGGATGTCACTGGGCGCGGATGGCCAGATGGCAGGGGTGGGACCCAACACAGGGAAAAGGGATGCGGAAATCTGGGAGTCCGGCTGAGTGGGAGCAGCGGCTACGCGAGTCTCCACGGGAGTAAAGAGCAACTCGCTTGTGCAAAGTCCCTTCTTGGAAACTGGGCTTTCCAAGCGAGGTAACCTGGACAACACATTTCTGAAAGGTGAGATCACGTGGCTTTCAGGACTCTTCTTTTCTGCATTCATTTGTGGACCTCGTGCTTCCTCTGAAGCCACACCACCTTCAGACACACTAGGAACAAAAACTTCCAAGTCATTCACAGGGGCAGACTTAAATTTCTCAAGTTTTAGTAACCCAAATTCCTCATCAGGTAAGTGGAAGTCTTTGATACCCAATCTGGAGGGCAGCTGCTGGAGACTGCGGAAGCTAAAGAGAGAGTCTGCAGTATCCGGGTCTGTAGCTGGAAGACCAAGAGCAGCTGGATCCTCCGAATCCATTTGATGGCCACGTCGTCTTCTGCTCCCGCCTGGACACAGAAAGACACAACACAGGAAAGGACATCGTACCATGGAACGACCAGCAGCAGGCCCTCCAATTCTTATCTAGAGGGCCAAACACTCTAACATTAATTTTCCCAAAGCAGCCGCATCTCTCAACACATGGAAGTGCCATTTTCTGGGAAGGCATTACGTTTAATGCATTAAGGCACTGCTCTGCATTCAGGCATCAGCTAAAATATCATTGACAAAAGCTGCCAGAATCAACAGAAGCCTAACTAGATTCTGTTTGTCTTTTCTCCAACACGCTTTCACAGCATTCACAAACTATCAGATTGTAGCAATAATCTTTGTGTTTCATACTTGTCAGCACTAAAACTTCATTAATGCCCAGTCGCAGTTGGCAAAAGAGATTTTATGTACATTTGCTGAAAATCAGGCCCAGTTTCCAAAGATTTACCCAACAGCAAAGGCAGGTTAAGACTTTCTCAGCCCTGCTCCTCATGCATGCACTGCTGCCCCCACTGTGCAAGTAAAATGGGAACCAAAATGATCCAACTTTTTCAGAAAGCTTCAACTCTCAAGAAACAACCCCCAGTCAGATTTTCCTGCATGGAATCTGTCAGGGAGTGCACGGCAGTGCGCGGATTCCCCCTGTGGTTCCCTGCCCTGCAGCGGGGCTCAGCCTTAGGCAGTGCTTTTACCTGGGGAAGGTCCCTGGGAGCGCGGGGCGGCTCTGCGCCCGGCGGAGCAGGGCAGGGAGCGCTGCGGAGCGGGACCCGCGCCAGGCCCTGCGAGCGGCGCAGCCCCGCGGGCTCCTGGCGTGCGCTGGGTCCGCACAGGTTCTGCGGGAGGTTCGGCGGGCTGACACTCGCCCAAGGCGGCATCCAGATCTCCCATGGGGCCGGCAAACGCTTCTTTCCCTGGATTCAAAGCATTGCTCTTCTGAAGTGGATTGTGAAGCTGCTCTAACAGAGCGTTACGGCGTTTGCCAAGCACTTGGCTTCCCGGAGAAGGACCAGCACTCACGGGCTCTGCAGCGCCGGGCGCTCCTGCCTCTCCACAGCCGGGAGCTGCAGCACCGGCCGAGCTCAGCTCAGCTACAGACAAGTTTCCAAGATCACCCTCGGAGTTCTTCTCGCTCTGACAGTCATTTGCTGAGACACGGGTGCCTTCCTTCGGCGTTGTGAGCTCCACGTGCCCTGGAAGCTCCTGTGACACTTGGTTCACAGCACGTTTGCACGGGGACTTTCTCCTTCCCTTTTGCTTCCTATGGGACTGTGTCTGCTCCCGCTCTGTGCTGGCCACACTGTTCTGCGAGATGGATCCAAGGGAAACGCTGCTGCTGTTGGATGCAGTAAGAGACTGCTGAGGACTACCTGAGTTCACTGGACTGCTTTCTGCACCAAGGGAGGGGAACAGCCTGACTCCTGACTCCTCATCGTTTCCAAGTGTTTCTTGGGAGGGCTGACCTGAATTTCCATCTTTCTGCTTGCACTTATTTCGCAGACCTTTTTTGCTCTTACCCAGCTGGCTGAGAATTACTGCATCTAGGTCCACTTTCCTCTGGCAATTAGACACGCGGCGAGTAGTCCGGACGTAGTATTCAACGGGGAACAGAAGCCCCTCAACAACCGTGTAAGAATTCATGGCGCTTTCAGCTTCAGCAGTCAACGGCTTCTCTACGTGAGAAAGTCTTGCCTCAGTTTCAAGTTCTTGAGTCTCCGACAGCTTTTCACCACTGCCTGTCGGAGGATCTGTAGGAAAGCAATTGAAGTCATTAGGCTTATTCTGATTTCCTTCAGAGCTTCCGCTCTCACTAATTACAGGGTTATTTCTGTTGGCAGGCAATACGCCCTTCTCCGACGTTAAGTCCCAGAGGCTACGTAATTCCACGTGCTCTTCCCCCATACACCCGTCGACCATTTGCTTTTCCGTACGGGAGGGTTCTCTTTGCAGCCTGGTGTCAGGCACAACAGCCTCGCCGTTCT